CTGGTTAAGGAGCTCTTCATCACTGCAGGTAAAGCTCACCAGTTCTTTTATTCCAGCAACCACAGATTCACCTGTTCTGGAAGATGCTCTCAGCACCTGTTCAGTTTTTAAAGGCACTTGTGAAATGCCATCCAGTAAAAGAAATACCCTCATTTAGCTTATAGTCAGCGTAGAGCAAAGAGATGGTAAATACTGAGTGAACAGAAGTATAACCTTCCTTTTGTTATGGCAAAAAAGGAAAGTCAAGCAAGGTAACAGGTTAGGGATAGGGGAGGGGCTCCGTGTTTTCCCATCCTACAGGTGGGCACTTGTTCTAATCTTCAGCCTTATAGCATCCTGCTGCCCAGTGGGGTGTAGAAGCCTGTGGTGGCCTAGGCTCACATCCCCAGGATCAGGTCTGAAAGAGGTCTACACGCAGCACACAAAAAGGCAAGCTAATCTGACCCTATGCAGGTTCCTATTATGGAAGGAAAGACTGAACATTGCCCTCTGTTGTGCCACCAGGGCATGAGGGATTTAAGTATTCGCCCTCATCTTGGGCTCGACCACCAAATGAATGTCCTTGCTTTTTTCCAGTAGTGGTGGGGGATGCTGTTAGGGTACATAAGAAGGAGAATGTTTTCTGGGTTAACTTGTTAACCTGAGAGGAGAGAGGGTTTTTTTTTTTTTTTTTTTGCATTGTTCTGTCTGCATGTACACCTGTATGCCCAGAAGAGGGCCCCTCAGATCTCATTATAGACTGTTGTAAGCCATCATGTGGTTGCTGGGAATTAAACTCAGGACCTCTGGAAGAACAGCCAATGCTCTTAACCTCTGAGCCATCTCTCCAGCCCAAGAGAGGGTCTTAAAAACAGAACAAACATTTACCTTTTTTTCTCTGAGCTTGAGAAACAGGGTGTTTTGTTGTTGTTGTTGTTCGTTCATTTGTTTGTTTGTTCTTTGGTTGCATGATAAAAATATTGTGGATCAAACTTGGAAATAATGAAGGAAGAAAAAGAAGATAATGCCACTCATTATCTTATTCCTTTTTTTAGATATATTAATATCTTGATGTTAATTTGTGTTCATGCAATATAGGCAACCACATGTACTGATTTTAAATAATGTTTAATTTTTAAAATTGTATGTGTTCATTGAGGAAGATTTAAAGATTCATTTTTATTTGTGTGTGTGTGTGTGTGTGTGTGTGTGTGTGTGTGTGTGTATGTGTGTACTGTGTGAGTGCAGTGCCTGTGGAATCCAGAGAGGGAATTAGAGCCCCTGTAGCTGGAGTGACAGGCTGTTTTAAGGCATCCTATGTGGGTACTGGAAACCAAACTTATGTTCCTTGCAAGAGAAGTATGTGTTTTTTAACCCCTGAGCCATTACTCCAGTCCTAGAAGAAGATTTAGAAAATACATCATCATCATCATCATCATCAAGTTTAAGTGACCTCCACATTTACCTCCAAGAGACCTTTTGCAACAAACTTCTTGTTATTATTTTTTTTCTTTTTACTTTTTATTCTCACTCAGAATGCACTGACTAGAGAAGCAGTTACCCACTGAGGTAGGGACCATGATGAAGAAAGGTTGCTGATGATCAGTTACTGTGGTTGAACATCACCAGTCTTTCCTTTTGGAGAACAATGATAAATACAGTCTGATGGTTGATTACTATGGGCCATTTCACTGGGCATTTTCTTTTTTTCTTTCTCTTTCATGAGTACATACATGTAGACAGGGTTTTACTATGCAGCCGAAGCTGGTCTGGAACTCTCTGTGTGGTCTAGGCTGGCCTCAAACTTCCAGAAATTCACTGGTCTCTACCTCTTGAGAGTGCTGGGACTGAAGGTGTTCATTATCACACCCGGCAGCATTTTCTTTATGTAATAAGTAATAATAACAAGAAGAAATGTAATAAACAGAAGTAAAGGGTTAATACTGTCCCTCCTCACAGCCCTTCCAGACTGGGTCCATCTCAGACTATGCCATCTGTGGAAATGGAATTATGTTCAATTCAACAAGGCTCTGAAGGATCCAGAAACTCTTTGCTAAGTTCCTGCTTCAAAAACAATGGTCATGATTTTGTTTGCTTTATTTAAGTTTGCTTTTCTGCAAGATAAATGGAAGTGTTTCTGCAGCAAATCATGCCAACACAACCTTCTAACCTTATGAATGGATTAGCCATTGGTTACAAGAGAGAGAGAGAGAGAGAGAGAGAGAGAGAGAGAGTCAAACTCGGCAATTTAGTGTCTAGTCTTAAATGGCTGTGGAATATGCCACTGCTTGTAGAGTGAAGGCATTTCTGGAAGTGAGAATTAGATGGAGAAACCAAATTTTGCTTTACAGTGTCTTAGAAGGTTTGTGGTTAAGAAAGTTAGGAGGGGCTGGAGAGATGTCTCATCAGTTAAGAGCACTTACTGCTCTTGCGAAAGATCCTGGTTATG